CAGCCCCAGGATATCTCTTCAAGAGTTTGTCAGGGTAGTGTCCTTGGCCCAACTATATTCAGCTGCTTCATGAACGATATTCCCTCCATTATATGGTGGGGTTGTTCACCAATGATTGCATAACGTTCAGTGCCATTCACAACTTCTCAGATGCTGAAGTAGTCCATGTTTGAATGCAACAAGATCTGGACAATATCCAGGCTTGGGTTGTCAAGTGGCAAGTAACATTAACAACAAGCAATGACCATTTCCAATAAGAGACAATCTAACTACTATCTTTTGACATTAAATGGTATTTCCATCACTGAATCCCCACATCAACATCCTTGGGGGGGTTAACCATTGACCAGAAGTTCACCTGGACTTGCCACATAAATACAGTGGCTATAAGAGCAGGTCAGACACTAGGAATACTGCTGCAAGTAATTCATTCTCCTGACTTCCCAGAGCCTGTCTACCATATACAAGGCACAAGTCAGGCGTGTGAGGGAATCCTGCACTCTTGCCTGGATGGGTGCAGCTTCAACAACGCTCAAGAAACTTAATACCATTCAAGACAAAGTAGTTTGCTTGATGGCCGCTACATCACAGGCATCCATTCCCTCCCCCACCAATGCTCAGTAACAGCAGTGTGTACTATCTATAAGATGTATCAAAGATCCTTAAATAGCATCTTCCAAACCCACAATCACTTCCATCTCGAAGATACGCAGGAACGCTACCACCTGCAAGTTCTCCACCCAGCCACTCACCATCTTGATTTGGAAATATATCCTTCACTTGCTGGATCAAAAATCTGGAATTCCCTTCCTAAGGACATTGTGGGTCAACCTACAGTATACTGATTACAGCAGTTCAAGAAGGCACTCACCACCACCTTCTCCAAGGCAGCTAGGGATGGGTAATAAATACTGACTAGCAAGTGGCACACATGTCCCATGAGTGAATAAAAAATGTATCAACTGGATGTTGATAGAAATGTGGAACTAAACTGTAATGAGCCATTGAGTTTAGCAGATGAATTGTGCAGAGCATGAAACTGCCAAGTTTGTTCCTTGGTCTTTCCTGAAAAAGCTTATCCTGGCAGAAATGTAAGAGTTGATTTCAGTGGGAAAGATCAGCCAGGATTCTTCCCCCAGTCGCTGCTCAGTGACCTTTATTGGGAAGAGTGGGTATTGGATGCAGGAAGGATCCTGGCTCTGGCCTGAGCTTGGGATAAAGACTGGCTGCTTAGGTGAGATATCAAAGGCATGGTTGCTGGTATCAATTTGGTCTATACTGCAAGGTGAATCGCCATCTTCAAGACACTACCAGTGCAAGGTAAGAGTCCTCAGCAGTGTATTGCAGGATGATCAAAATTGGCAATACGCAAGGTACTGAAATTTAAAGTAGGCAGATATCTCTGAGACACATCAACGATGTCTGTCTTTCTATTTCGCGAGCTTTTCAGCTTGCTGGTGCCACAGAATGTTAATATAATGTGGATGGAGAGGGCTGTGCACTTTGAAGGCTGAGCTTAATTGGCTGACTGTTGAGTTGGGAAGTTTAATTGGTAATGACTATTAAAAATCTTACATTTCCAAACGCACCTGAACCTGAAGGGCTGGTGTGAAGCTTTTTATTAAGAATATCTACACAGTGCAGAGTCAGTGTGTGCTGCAGTGAGCATTGACTTAAGCAGCTTGCAACTTGTTACGGATTTAAGAGGCTTCTGATTGAGGGCATTGAATGATTTCGTTTAGATATGTAGGTTTTAATGAGTTCATTTGTTTCTTATCAATAACTGCTGCTGAACTGAAAGGATGAAGCAAAATACAGCCATTTTTTTTTAGTACCTTGAGTACTTTTTCCTGTTTCTTTTATTGCCTGTTCCATCTTAAAGGCACCACTCTAGCATCAGGTACAGTTTCATAAACACTGTATCAACACCTCATCAAATTAACCTTTCATCTATCGTTAGCTAAACTATTGAAAGTTATCTGAAATCATAGCAAGACAATTTCCAAATGGCTCCCAACACAAACTTCAGCTCCTATGGTACTGCATTCTCCTGCTCACCTCCAACTTCCATCAGATTCACCTCATCTTGCTGTTAGCTGTTTTCCTGTAATATCCCAATCCCTTTCGCCACATGATTTCAGGCTTTACTACCTTGCTTGTCTCCAATAGCTTCACTGGGACATTGATTCTGAAACCCTTGAACACACATTCTTCTGTAGCTTCACTTTATCTCTACAGTTTATTCAGGCCTTGGCCACATTCTCTATTCAAACTTATGGTTCATCTCCTGCCTCCCCAAAAAGATCTACCACTGATGATAGACCCTTCAACTATCCTAACTCCTTCCACGTCAACATTTCAGAACCCTTTTTGTCCTTGTCTTTGCACATCTCCCTGAAATCTTCTTCATGTCTGATGCCTACCAGTGGACTTCCTTCGTATCTCTTTATGTTAAAGTCACTACATCAGCATGGATGGTTGCCCCCAGACATTTATATTTGTATGCTTTCTCGCAGGGCCACTGTATATTAACAGCAATGGGAGCATTAGCTGATTTTCTTTTAATGTCGAGGTACTGAGGCTCGCTTGAATACCACTAATTTGTAATCTTGCTGAGATGAGCTAATTCAACATAGATCAAGAGTTGAAACTTGAACCTCCTGGTCTCTGTGGTTTAATGCTGCCCTTTCTGTTTTAATGGGAAGAACCTGTTTTCAAGGTACTTGGAATAAAATGAGTCCCTAACTTGTGATAAGGTAAAAAGAGCTAGAAAGTGAACTCTGAAATGTAAAGGGAAAATGTTTGTAATATCCAGATTAGTCCATGATGGCGAGAGAAGATAAATTCATGTTAGCCTCCTGACACATCCTCATGCATGTCTGGTTAAGTTCCTTGATGTTTAAGTCAATCAGGTCAGACTGGAGAGAAACTTTACCGAGATGCAGAATTTTGGCGCTCAGGTACTGAAGCTTTTTCAGCTTAGCGACCCAGTATCAATCAACAGGTTACCAACAGGTAAAACTCTTCACTGTAAAGTTCCTTCTGTTTTCACACTTGACTTCTGTTGCATTGCTGTGATTATTGCCTCTCTTCTAGCCACCCTGTCAGCTCTCTGAATTAACATACTGAGTCTGTTGCGGTTTTGTTTTATGCTCTTGTTTATTAAGGACGAGCTTGCATTAGGCTTACGGCTACAAGATCAAGCAAACTTGGATCATGTGAACTGGAGCTGGATCAATGCCCATTATGCTGAGATAAAAGAACATAATTTTAACTCTTTTGTCATAATGCATCCAGTGCCTGAGCAGCAAAGCATATGCTGCAGATTTGAATAATGACTGTGATTGACACTAATTTTTGAGCTACCTTGGTACTATCTGCATGGCCTGCTGTTGGACTATTCTGGTTAAAATCCTGGGACCAGGCAAAAGGTTTGGGTTTTATGTGGTGTTACAGAAGATAATATAAAATTCACAGTAGAACCACTCAACCATCTGACAGCTTTGCTTCCATCTTGTAGCGGTGCCAGGACCTCAACTCCTTGTGGTCACTATCAGCTGAGCTGAGAGAAATTGTAGTTTTTGGAATTTTGTAGCCCTTTGTATCCGTCAACCTTTTGAAAGAACCACGCAATCAGTCTCACTCCTCTGCCTTTCCCATAGCCATGTATTTTCTTTTAAATTTTTCAAGTTGCCTGGTTCCCTTTTGCAACTTACTGTTCAATCTGCTTCCACATCTTTTTCAGGCAGTGCATTCCAGATTATCTTAACTCACTGCGTGAGGTAAATTCTCCTTTTAAAAATAAATTGAAGTGTTAAACCACATTCCACTCTTCCTGTGGTCTACCCAGCCTAACTCCGTTAATTTTCTTCATGCCTTAGCCCTAAACTGCATTTTCCTATGGTTTCCCGCCTGTCTCCACACATGCCCTTTCTGAGTTTGTCTTGTCCATGAGGCTTGCCTCCTGCTCACTCAATCTCATTCCCAGGTAGCTGTTGATTACCCAATCTCCTACCTCCTATGTTAACCAATATCATAAACACTCCACTCATCTGGTAATATCAGACTTTACACTACATTGAAAGACTTTGAAAAGGAAAGGGAGATTGGAGATGTGACGGTAGTTTGTAAGATTGGAGGGTCAAGAGTTGTTTTTCAGGAGTGGGGCTAAATATATTACAACACATAGTGAAAACTTTCTTTCCATCTTGTCCACGTCAGTCAAAAAAGGATCTGACTGCATTAATCCTATTTTCCATCTTTTGGTCCATAGCCTTGGGAACTATGGCAGCACAAACAAAATTCTAAATACTGCTTAAAATGTTACCATAATTTATGACTTAACCACCCTTTTAGGCAGTGACTTCTGGATTCTCACCACTCTGAGTGAAACCATTCCTCCTCAACTTTCCTGTTAGCCTTCTGCATCTTATCTTAAATCTATGCTTCCTGATTATTGACTGCTACTAATGGAATAATTGACTTCTGGCAGGTCCCCTCTCAACTTTAGCTGCTTCAAGAAAAACAACCCCAGCATTTCTAATCTTTCCTTGCGGCTAAATCCTCCAGTTCAGATACCAACTTAGTTGTATTATTATGTAACTTTACGAATTAGTACTCTGTGGTGTTGATGTCAGATCATCTCCAAGCACCTAATAACATTCTGTTAATAGCTATGGCTTCCCTTTGGTGCTGGGGAACCCATCTGCATTTGCTTTGGAACTCTGTCCTGCCCCCAATTCCCAACAGTTGATGCTGGAAGCCTGCTCACTGTTGCCTATTGGTGCTGAATGAATATCACCACACTGTCTGCTGGTCAAGCTGAGAGATTTTCTTTCTTCAGTGTCCATTGGCTTGGCTGTGTCTCCAATTCATGGTTTAGCTGTGCCAAACTTCCTTGTCTATTGACAGGACTGTGTACTTGCCACTTGTACTAATTATCTAACATTCTTTATGATATTTTGCCACTGTTCTGACTGAGGTCATTATTCCCTTTTCAGACTGTGGACATTCACAAGGAGAAGGTTGCTAGAAGAGAGATTGGTATCTTGACAACCAACAAAAACACCTCCAGGACTCATAAAATCATTGCTCCATCTAACCCTGAGAGGCCTGTCAGGTACATCAGGAAGCCCATCGATTATGCTATCCTGGATGACATCGGTCATGGAGTGAAGGTATGCTTTGTAAGCCCAGGAACAGCTAACAGAACACTTTGTTGGAGTAGGAGTTACAGGAACTACTTGGATAAAGGCGGGTATTATGCATTAGAAATGGTTTGGGAGTCACTCTTTTAAATTTGGCATCTCGTTAAAGTTTACTGGAATGTTAGCAATATAGTATTTTATGTAAAGAATGGTCCAGTAAGCAATGTTTTAACCTGATATTCATTTATAGAAAATTGTCATATATAGAAAACTGCCATTTTTAATGCTCTATTAAAGTCATCTCATGGCAGCCATTAGCTGTTAAAGATAGCCATGTCTGCTGGTACATGTGGATTAATATATTGAAGTCCTTTCATATTGCTGCATCTTTCAATTGGCCTGTGATGGCTTCAGATTTAGAAGGCTCCACCTTTCACACTGCCTCCAACATGGGAATGACTATGAAAAATTTGCATTCCCACCTTAATATTGTGAGAAACATACATCAGCAGGGAAATAACCAGCATAAATCATTGGACCCAGCTTTGGTCTCCGCTCTGTACTGAGTCAGCTGATCTCCTCCTGGGATCTCCATTACAGATGACGAAATAATTACCCAGAGTTCCTACTCATGATCTGCCTCCGTGAACCCTGTTGGGGAGTATATGTGCATGTTGTCAGGAGAGTACATTTGACAACATTGTCCCCCAGTTGTCCCAGAAATATCTGCTAATGCTCACTGTCCTTATTCACATGTTGAGAACCATTTAAATGCAAGGTACTTGCTTGCCTGTGGAACTGTATCCAAATAAAAGTTATCTTCAGGAGATACGGAGGGGAATAGAACAGTGATGTAGAATTAACAAGCGTACAGCAGAGAAACTGTTTCCTCAGAATTAGTAGTCATTATCTTAAAATCACAGCTAAATCCATTAGGATTGAAATCAGGAAGCATATTATGTCAAAAAATTTAGAGGAATGTCAAATTCTGTCCTAAATTGTTGTAGATTTTTGTCAGGTGAAAGTATTGAGGGTGGAGAGTGAAAACGGGCAAACTGAGCTCAGGAACAAAGGAGCTGAATGCATATCTCCTATTTTGATGGTCGTATGAACCAGTATGCTCTTGTGGCAGGAGGAGGTATGTGACACTACAGTTAAATATGTACCTGTACAGTATCAGTCTATCTTTGGCCTCCCTGCAGAAGGTTAATTAAGTAGCGTTCCGATCAGCCTGTGCAGATGTGAACCACAGAGCTAGAACTTCATTGAAAATGTTTCCAATTCTACTTTTTGCGACAAAACAGATTTTTTGTGGAGTGGAGGAGTGAAATAGTGTCTCTGCCTTAACAAGGGATAAAGAACTGAGAGTCAGGATATCAAGAAGATTCAGTCAGATTTGCTCCGTTACTAGTGATATGTTGAGGTAATGGAACATGAACTCAGGAGTTCTGCAGTTGATTCTTAACTGGTGATGATCTTGTTGCTAAGGTATGAGGATCCAGAACTTAACTTTGGAGGAGCCTCAGTCAGTGCCCTTGTCAATGGTACAAAGTTCTTGTTCCCAGTGCAGACTGCAGGACTATTATTTAAATGGAGAGAGATTCCAAAAAAGATGCAGTGCAAAGGGATCTGGGTATTCTTTTGCATGAAACACATAATGTTAGTATGCAGGTTCAGCAAGTAATTAAAACAGCAAATGGCAGTTTGGTCTTTTTTGCTGGAGGATTGGAGTTTAAAAAGGGGACAGTCTTGTTACAACTTACAGGGTACTGGTAAGGTTGCATCTGGAGTACTGTGTACAGTTTGGGTCCCCAAATTTAAGAAAGAATATACTGGCAGTGGAGACTATTCAAAAGACTTTTTTTGGGAAGAAGGATTGGCTTACCAAGAATGGCGAAGCAGATTAGGACTTTATTCAATAGAGTCTAGAAGAATAAGAGGTGATCTTATTGAAACATACAATATTCTGACACAGCTTGACAGGGGAGATATTAAGATGTTTCCTCTAATGGCAGAATCTTGAACTGAGAGACATTTTTAGAGAATAAAGAGACACGTAGTTAAAACTGAGATGCATTGGAATTTCTTCTTTCAGAAGATAAAAAGTTGTGTCTGGAATTCTCTGTCCCAAACAGCTGCAGAGGCTAGACCATTGAAAGTATTTAAAGGTGGATTGATTTTTGAAATATCAAGGAGTTCAAGGTTATGATAAGTTAGCATGAAAGAGAAATTTTAGTCTGTGGCAGATCAGCTACGATCTTGTTGAATAATGAGGTAGGTTTGAGGGGCCGAATGGCACACTCCTCCTCCTAGTTCTTATGTTATCTATCCAGATCTGAAAAGATGATCAACTAACAGATACTTGCATTTGTATATCATCTTTAACATATTAAAATGTTCCAAGACATTTCACACGCGTTATCAAACAAATTCTGATACCAAGCCAAATGAGGTATTTACAGCATGAACTAAAAGCGTGGTCAGATATGTCAGTTTTACGGAGGAAGATGTTGAGGGAGGGAATTCCAGAGTTTAGGGCCTCAGGACCTGAAGACTTAGCCACTAAGACATAATGTGATTAAAATCTGAGAGGTACAAGAGAAATCAACTGAAAGAGATGTCAGTGGGTTGGAAGAGGTAACAGATTTGGGAGCGGTCCAGGTTAGGGAGCGATTTGAAAACAACGGTGAGAATTTAAAAAATAGAGGTGTTGCAGGATCGGGGTCAGTAGATGTCAGCAAGCCTGAGTGATGGTTGATTAGGTGTGAGTTAGAGTACAGAAGACAGAATTCAACTCATGTTTACAGTGGGTGGGAGCTGGGAGGCAACCTAAAGAATCTTAAAGTAGTTTGGACTAGAGATAGCAAAAGCATGAAAGATGGTTTCAGTAGCAGATGACCTGAGACAGGTGGAATTGGGCATTATTACAGAGCACTTAGGCAAACATGTGAAGGAGGCATATGGGGACTGAAAGTCAGTTAGATTACCATAGTACAGATTCAGATAGCTGCTGGGAAGAGGCATAGATTTAGTGACTAGGGGGCCGAAATTTGTAGTCAGATTGAAGATAATTGCTTTGATCTCCTCTATTTGGCTGAAAGAAATGTCTGCATCCAATATCAGGTAGCAGACAAATACCATGATAAATCAAATCAGAGGCATTCAAGTAGTCCAGAGAAGCACTAGATAGGTAAGAGTTTAGTGTAATTTGTAACAGGAGATTCCAGAGATAACAGATCAAGCAGGAAGAGAAACCTTCATAGAGCATTCTCTTGTTCTGATTGAAATAATAAGAATAGAATCAGGCAAGTGCATTCTCAGTCAGTTGAGCTACAAAGGAGATGCTTTGGAGCAGGATGGCATGGTCAACGTAGTGTGGAGCTGGAGGAACATAGCAGGTCAGGCAGCATCAGAGGAGCAGGAGAGTCAACATTTCGGGTTGGGACCCTTCAACTTTCCTGCTCCTCTGATGCTGCCTGACCTGCTGTGTTCCTCCAGCTCCACACTGTTTTGACTCTGACTCCAGCATCTGCCATTCCTGCCATCTGGCTTGGTCAACAACGTTGAAGGCTGCTGACAGATCAAGAAGCTTAGGATAGTTTATCTTTCTTATGGTCACATTGGATGTCATTAATGATTTGCATGAGACCTTCTTTAGTACTGTAACAGAGAACCCGATTGGAGGGATTCAAAGCTGTTGTTGCAACAAAGATGGGCTTGGGCCTTGGAGATAACAGCTATTCAAGCACTTGTAGAGTGAAGGGAATTGGGAATGTAATGGTGGCCTGCAAGGACTGAGGAGTCGAGGTTGGATTTTTGAGGAAGGCTAATATTAAACGGCTTCCTGGTTCCTGATGGCTAAATGTGCCACAGCACCAAATAATGATTTGTCCCAGATTCTACCCCTGGTCTGTGCTGAATTAATGGCTGGCAGCCAGGTCAGATCACTATCAAGCTAGGGGAAATATAGGCAGCCGACTGCCTTGTGCCATCTTGCTACTCAGGGGTCACTGAAGGGAGTCTGGAGGAAGTCTGTGCTCATGCCCCAGGTACCTGTATGGCTACTTGGGTGTGTTATCAGTACAACATCATTCTGGTATAACAGACCAACTGCCGAACTTTCGTCAGCATTTTTGAGAACAAAGGAGGGGGCATACTGGGGTGCTGATTACTCATTCTGGCTCAGTTCTTGGAAGTGCAAAACCATGCGTCAAGAGTTTGAAACTATTTAATAAAAATTGGGCACTACATCAAAAAGTGGCATTTTGTCTGCATATGGCTGACAACATGATAGGAAAAATCATCATGAAACACTGAATCATAATACAACTTCAGAACCTCCTGAGACTAACACTGTGTTAGATAAATTCAGTGGTTGCAGATTCAAGATCTGGTGAAATGCCTCTTTGAATTTCCTTTATGAGCTCAGTATAGGTTCCTGCTCTCAAAAGATGGAGAGATGTTGTTTTATCTGAGATATTCTTTGGATCTTGTTTTGGCAGCGTTTCCTGGTGGTGACTACCACCTACTGGTACATTTCTGAAATTGATATTGTCTGCGAGTTAAAGCTAAGTGCAGTGTCCAATTGTGAACTGAAATAGAATTTAGGTGGGACGTAGTGAGTCACTAAGTACCTTCTGTTAGTGCTCTGGAGCCCTATGCCATTTCCAAACTCAGTGGTGCAGCATTCAATAAAGTAGCAGTTGGTTTACAAAAATAAAACGAAGAATTGCCGATGCTGGAAATGTGAAACAAAACCAGAAATTACTGGAGAAACTCAGCAGGTCTGGCAGCATTTCGGGACAGAAAGCAGAGTTAATGTTTCGAATTTAGTGACCTTTCTTCAGAACTGATAGTAGCTAGGAAAAGAAAATATGGTGAAAACAGGGATTGGGCAGGTGTGGGAGAAAAGGAGTGAACAGAGGTAGAGATGGATCCCAGAGAGAGGGAGAGAGCGAGAGAGAGACTATTGGACGAAGAGATGAATAATAGTAATCCAGGGAGAAAGAAAAGCTGACAATGGGGTCCAT